TTGTCAGGGTCTTAATGTCACCAGATAGTGCAGCTCTTTAAGATCTGTTGCCTCCTGTGTACCCCGATAAACTGACGGTCAATACCTGCCTGAAAAAGCAAGATTGATCAAAGTCAGTGCTTAGAGCTGGCACATATTTTGTGTAGCAAATACCAGAGAGTGCCCTGGCTGTTAGTAGGTCCAGTTGGTGACCACTGCACGCTGACATATGTTAAGCCTGACTCTTTCATGGTGAAAAGTCCTTATGTTGGTTGCAGTTCTGCTCAAGGGATTGGTTTGTGCTATTAAGTCCGGGTATAAGATAGCCAAAAGACTGAATCAGCAGCTTGCTGGTGCAGCTTGAGCAGAAAGACTGTAAATGTGTAGAGGTCATCACAATCATGTTGAAGGGAAGTGGGATGAGAGAATGAACTCTTAATATCAAAAATCCACCCTAGGACTCTGTAAAAATGGGGCCATTCGGGTGATGTGTCACCTTGCTCGGAGATGACTCAGTGACCTGGCAGCAGTCAGTGGGATGGATGGACATCTCCAGGGCAAGAGGAAAGAATCTGTGGGGGAACATCGTGCTCTGGCTTCTGGTTATTTCGAAATCTGGCATGCTCCTCGAGCTCGAAGCGTTGGAAGCAGGAGCAGTTAATTTGTTCCCACAAGAGGCCTTTTGCAGCGCCCGTCTGTGTGGAACCCGGCGCGGCGCCCGCCGCTCGCTCCGCAGCGCTGCTTTGGGTGCAGGTGCCTCGGCACAAGCTCCGAAGCTTTCTGGCCGTTTGCCGCTGGCAAACAGGACCTTTGGCTTGTATTCAGCCTCTTCATCAGCAGGGATTAGTGTGCATTACATCCAGGAGGAAATTAACCCCCAAAGCCATTCCAAAGTGAAATGCTCGAGGGCCTCTCTGTCCAAGCCACTGAATAGCTGTTATGGTTCTAAATCTAATAATCTGCTGCACGTAGCTTCTGTTAGAAGTTTGGCTCAGCTTTCTCTGCTGACTGGCCATCGTGCCTGCTTCCTTTATGGAAGGGACCTCTAGAGCCCACCTAGTCCAACCTTCTGCTCCAGCAGGGACACCCAGAGCACAGGGTGGCATCCAGGCGGGTTGAAGATCTCCAGAGATGGAGCCTCCACAGCCTCTCTGGGCACCCATTAGCCCTTGTCCCATCACTGGCCACCACGGAGAAGAGTTTGTCCCCATCCTCCCTGCATTCTCCCCTCAGCTATTTGTACATGTTGATCAGATCCTCTCAGCCTTCTCTTCTCCAGACCAACCAGGCCCAACTCACTTAGTCTGTCCTCATACGATAGATGCTCCAGTCCCTTCATCATCTTTGTCACCCTATGCTGGACCCTCTCTAGAAGCTCCACGTTCCTCTTGTACTTTTAACTTAGATGGGCATAAATCTCTGGTTTGAGGCAAACAAGGGCTCTCGTGGGGTGTGGACGCGCTCGGGTTGTGCTGAGATGGAAGTGCAGGCTGAGTGCTTTTAGCCTGACTGACCAGACCATTAAGTGAGCTCAAGGAGCACCATAAAATAGTTATGAGCAAATAGGCTCTGCTCAGCACCTGCGACTCCGTTGTCACCCACAGCCCCTCAGGGCTGCAGTCCCCCGAGCCGTGGCCCCGCTTGCTCTCTGTAATGGTCAGGTTTTAAAGAGTTGTATCCAAATTCAAATTAATTTCCCCCATATGTTCCCAGTGTGGAGATAGGTGAGAGCGTGCGTGGGGAGGATGTCTACATCGTGCAGAGCGGCTGTGGTGAGATCAACGACAATCTCATGGAGCTCCTCATCATGATCAACGCCTGTAAGATCGCCTCAGCCAGCAGGGTCACAGCCGTCATCCCCTGCTTCCCCTACGCTCGCCAGGACAAGAAGGACAAGGTGAGGCTTTGAGAAGGCTTCTGGGGAGAGGAATGCGTGTCCCAAAAGTGCTGGCTGGCATTTAGATGATGTTGAATATGTAGAAGAAGAGATGATAGGACTTATTTTAACTTTTTAAACCTAGGGGCATTGGACTATAAAATCATCTTTTCATAAAAATCCAGTTGTTCTTGAAAATGGACCAAATTAATCAGCATTGATGAAAAGATGCAATGTTAATGAGTACCCCTTTTAGTAACTCCCTGTGAATCATTGCCTGGAAGCAGAAGGCTGGCATCTTGATGAGGGAGTTGAACTTGTCTCGAATACTCTTTTTTCTTTTTTTTCTCTTGTTCTAGAGTCGAGCCCCAATCTCTGCCAAGCTGGTGGCAAACATGCTGTCTGTGGCAGGTGCAGATCACATCATCACCATGGACCTGCATGCCTCTCAGATTCAGGTAGGAGCCAAAATCAGGAGAGTATTTATTTACCTGCTCACCTCCGAGCCCGTTCACTGCCTGACAGGTTTGCCAAGGACTTGTAGCAGTCAGGACTTGGGAGTGCACTACTGGAAGGGACTTGTAGGGTCATCAGCAAAGGATTGGGGGATGGATAGTGGTTTCAGCTGTAAATGATAGGGGCAGCAAGCTGTTAAACTGCTAATCTTGTCTAGCTCCACCTTGAGTGAGCTCTCAGACCAGGAAAACAACTCAGTGCAACCAGGAGGGGTGGCAGAGGTGGGGATATCTGTTGTATTACTATAAAAATTTATCTAGGGTAGTTGCATATCTATGTCTGAGTAAAGTAGATGGACTCGCTGTCATTTTACAAGTTGAAAATGCAGCCATTCCTCCTTCAGTATAATTTGTTCCAGTATAATTTGTCCAGAAATACTGTCTCAGATGGAAAATCTCTGGAGGCACAGCAGGGAAGACTTGCAGGAAGCTCATGAAATAGAGAAGAACCCACGGGGTACTTGTCTTCCTTAAAATGCTTTTGAAGTTGTGTGTGCCATAGGATCTAGCTTTTTAGCAGCAGCACGGGTGAAATTTCAGTTGAATAATTGGTTTTGTGCAGATCTTCTCCAGCATCTGGCTGGTTTCAGCCAGCTGCTTGTGCATGCTGGGTTACATGAGCCCAGAAGGAAAAATGCTAGGGGAGATCAGTGTTGCCCCTACACCTTGAATGTAAGGCATGACTGAGTTTTGCCAACAACTCCTGTGTATCACCCCTCCTGTTCCTTACTCCCTGTCCAGGGTTAAATTCTGGCTTTTAGTGACCTTTGAGGTTTACCTGCAGGAGCCTGCTGTGTCAGAGTAAAGCTGGAACCAGCTGCTGCATTAGTTTAAAAGCAAATATTGCTGAAGCTTGTTTCATAGGTTTCCAGCTTCCTGTAGGTGCAAACAGTGTAGGTAATAAGCATTAGGGATCAGACTGGCTCTGTAAACAAGCAGTTAGCTGCTCAGGAACCAAGTGCAATAGATATTTTCTGCACCTGTTAGGACAGAGCTAGTTTCATGTTGAAAGTGTCAGATATAAAACGTGTTACTTAGATTGCAATGCTCTGATTTTTTTATATTGCAATTCTGTGTACCCCAAAGATTACTGCTGTTCTAAGGAGGGGAAATAAACAAGGAAAACTGAGAATGGTTTAGGAAGGCAGTGGCTTCATGTCTGTCTGGAAGGTTTCTTTCAGTTTCTTGGAATGTGACCTTCAGCCATGTTGATCTCCTAATGTCTGTCTCCTTGCAGGGCTTTTTTGATATCCCTGTTGATAACTTGTATGCTGAGCCTGCTGTCCTGAAGTGGATCAAGGAGAATATTCCCGAGTGGAAGAACTGTACCATTGTTTCACCTGATGCTGGTGGAGCTAAGAGGTAAGTTGTGAGGCAACAGGCAGAGATGGGTCCTCATCTGCTCCGATTGTTAACACAGTGTAAATGCAGTTGTGATGCCACTATCAAGATGCGTATTCCTGCTCTGCCATCCTGCCTTCTGCAAAACAGCTAATGGCAGATAGATGAGAATTGTCAGATATTCTTTCTAGGGAATGTATAGAATATTTCTGGAGCTTAAATGGCTCCTGGATTCACAACTGCGTAGGTAGAATGGAGCAGTCTCCACATCCTTTGCACTAAAGCTATTTTGGGAGAAGCAGAATTATTGGGTTGGTGAAGAAGGGTATCATGGTTTGTAACCTTTGCAAAAACAAGGTTAGCCTTGCTGGTTCATGATCATTTTTATCCAAGCTCTTTGTTATATTAAACGGGCTAGCAAGGCTTTCTTTTTGCTTTACTACTCCTACTTGAAATGTTGTGCTGTGACTTAAGCCCACTGCTACTTACTCTTCTCTGTGAGCAAGGAAGTTAGATAGTTCCTTTCTTAGCAGCAACATATGTAAGCACCTTTCTATCTTGTCTGACACAGGAAATACGCTCCTGTCTTTCTGCAGATAAACACATCAGCTTGTGAACAATTCAAAGGGCTTCCGGGTGCTCACAAGGCAGATCTAGGCTTGCTCTTGAGGGCTCTGTAATGGCTACAAATGATAAGCTAAGAGAAACAGATGTATTTTGTAGTGCAAGAGCCTTGCATAAAAATGTTGGTGCGTGCTGCATCTTCTAGCAGTTCTTTTCTTAGTCTGCAGCTTATTATGGCTATAATGAACAAATTTCCAGCTGGCACTTTCTCCTGGAAACCACTCGTCTTTCACATATGAGTTCAAAATCTAAAAGTAGTGATGAGATGAGGAAATACGCTTGAAGTCAGAGCCAGCACATTGCCTTATGTGATCCAGACAATGTGCCTGTGCAGAACCACAGGTGACCTGTGCTGCAGAACTGTAGAACTGTATTGGTTCCACTCATAGCTGAATGGCAGAAAAAAAGGGAAAGTACTAGAATGTTCCATGGGGTAATAGTGAAATGGCATTTCCAGTAAGCAGCTGCATGGTGGGGAAGAACTGTATCGTTGTTTTGGATTTAGAAATATACAGTTCATTGCTCCTTTTCATTTGATCTTGTTCCTCTTGGTAGTCTGTTTTTAACAACGAAGAATCGGGGAAGTCCAGGGTGGCTGTACCATTCGAACTGCCAGACTAACTCCTCCATGGCACGGTGTAGTTTAAACATTTCCCGTGTCTCTTTACAAAGTTGACAACTTCCCAAGCATTCCGGTTGCTTGAGGTTTGCTGAGCTTGCTAGGTAAGGTTTGTTTTGAGCTTTAAATGCAAATTAATTTGCACCAGTCAGGATGAAAGACTTTCATCTAATCTAGGAGCTGTCATCAAGAGAGTGGATTGGAAATTTCATGTTAACTGCTTGAAAGCAAAGTACACAAAGGTGGCAAGGAGTCTTCTGTGAATTGCTTGGGAGCGGTTAACAGGAGTGGTGACAGCTTCTCTTGCTCCAGTCTGTGCTTATGGTTTTGGAAGAGGTTGTTCTTCAGCTGAAGTCGCTCTGGAGTTAAGTGTGGTTTGGAAACTGTTCTCTCTTCAGAGTGACCTCCATTGCAGATCGGTTGAACGTAGACTTTGCCCTCATTCACAAGGAGCGCAAGAAGGCCAACGAGGTGGACCGCATGGTGCTGGTGGGTGACGTCAAGGACAGAGTGGCCATTCTGGTAGATGATATGGCAGACACGTGTGGTACCATCTGTCATGCAGCAGACAAGTGAGTACATTGACCCTTTCCTGAATTAGACCAAACATTATGTACTAAATTGATTATTTGCATGTGAATTTTCAAAGTAACCTACAGTTTCTTGATTTTTCTATTTCACACCTCACAAAACAGGCCTAGTTAGACTTCTTTCTGGTAGAAATAACTAGAACATGTTTTTTTCTCCTTTGAAGAGTTTGTTGAAAGTATGTGTATTGGATATTATGTATTTGATGGGTGGCCTTAGTGATGCTTGATTGTTCATTTAGTGATAGGTAATAGTGAGACTCAACTGTCCTTCAGATGCTTTCTACTGGTCCATCACTGACTTAGCCCAGATATGTTTTGCTGGACCAGACCACATTTAACACTAAGGTCGTGGATCTGAGTTTCTTTGAGAAATAAGCTTTTCAAGGCAGCCTTCTACCCTAGAGAAGGCAGCATATATGTCTTTGGGCATCAAATACCTGTTGCCTTAAGTTGGCAAAAGCACTGGAAGTGGATTTGTATGTAGGATCTAGTCCAAATGCCCAAGGAGTGAGAACAGTGTTCTTGGAGTGTGTAGCTTGGATTGTATGGTACTGTTTTCTTCCCTGAAATCAGAGATCGTCACAGGTAGTCTGTACCCTAAACGTGTGATATCTTCTCTTTTCCTGTCTATCCCTAACCCCATGCCCATGTCACTTAAATACTTACTAAGAGTTTCTTGCCTGTCTCGCTTTTCTCCCTCCCAGGCTAGTGTCAGCTGGAGCCACCAAAGTTTATGCTATCTTAACTCATGGGATCTTTTCTGGGCCAGCAATTTCCCGAATCAACAATGCCTGCTTTGAAGCAGTTGTTGTCACAAACACAATACCCCAGGAGGACAAGATGAAACATTGCCCTAAAATCCAGGTGAGCATCTGTTTTCCCTACTCTCAACTCCCAAGGCTTATCTGTCTCCCTGTTGCTGAGAATCTGTAACACTGTCCAGTGCTTACTATGCAATTACTAGACGTAATGTCACTGAGACTGGATTCAGCAGCAGGGCTGACAAGAAGTTCCCTTATTCCTATTACAGGGGATAACAGTTTTACTGATAAAATGGAACTCTTAACCAAGATCATCCCAAACAGTGCATTTAGTCTTTTTTTTTTTTTTTTTTTTTTCTTTACAGGGATTGTCATAACCTAGATCAAATCACTGATCTAATGGGGCCATGCTGTAAGCAAGCAGCCCTGTCAGTCCCCTTTGGAGGGTGACATGCTGATGTGTAGCACTGAAGCAGAAATGGGTAGGAACTTCTCAAGCCAGTACTGATGCCAGCTTGAGTTGTGGAACTATCACCTGGGTGTGCTATGGCCACAGTAGATCATCTTCCTGCAAAACCCAAAGGCCAAAAAAGCTATCTGGAAGGATTTCTGCTTTCTGTTCTAGAAATCTGGCTCTTGCCATTCCTTTTCCTCTTGGAAGATGGGAGATGCTACTGGATCTTGTAACAGCAGATGCCAAGAAATATTATTTGAAAGGATATAACTCCTTGAAACACTGGGATGACTTGTTCTTTCTCCCAAGCTGTCCCTAACCCTTTAACTGGATTTCTTTATCCACATGTTCCTTCTGAAGACCTTTTGTGAAATAAAGCAGCCCTGGTTTGGGAAAAGCAAAGGTTTAATGTCTGGTCATAATACCATGAAAATGACCTGGAAGGGGAGCATAGTTCCTTTTCACATGTGTGTCTTGCTGGCTTGACTAAGCAGGTGACACAGCTCTGTAATGCAGTGTTTGGATACTTGCCAGCACTTTAAAAAAAGCTCTGCTCTCTAAATCAAAGCTAAAAACTGGCCTTTTGACCCTCATTCTTTATGGTGGCTTTCCATTTAGGGAAATTGGGCAGGCATTTTGTTCCCCGTGCTGAGGCTAATTTTCCCAGAAGAAAAAAATGCCTGTAGAACTTGAGAAATCTTGAAGTTCTGCCTAGTTCTTGTTAACAGATGTGGAAATAGTAGCTTTGCCTGGGAGTGCAGGCCTAGTAGCTTGTTGAGAAGCTTCAGGTACTGTTAAGGGTAGCAGGGCCTGCAGAAGAGGAAGCTCAGCTCGTTGAAGCCAGGGTGGGTTTTCAGCTGCTTTTGGAGGTAAAAATGAGCTGATTACAAAAGGTTACGGGGTTGCATTTTGCAGCTTCTGGATGATGCTCCTGTAACTCAGCACATGTAAATGTCTGCTTGTACCATCTGCACACTCCACCGTGCCCTTAACACAGGCAAAAAGGTAAAATGGTAACTAGGACATAAATAGTTGTAGCCAGGGAGTGCAGTGAAGTTTTTTAGGCTCTCATTTATACCTCACTCTTACGCTAACATCTCATGTTTTGTGTTGGGAAATGCAGAGCTAAAGGATTTGTCATAAGAGTCCAGTGCTGTGTTTTTTGCCTTCCTTAAGGTTTTTCTTTCTCAGGAGGTAAACTACACAGAAGGAAGAAAGATTAAACATCAATTTCACTTAATTCACAAGGAGTGAACATGCAGGGCTTTTTTTTTTCTTTTTTTTTTTTCCTGAGACTACATTAAATATAAATGCTTCAGCTGCTGGGATTCAAAGCTAGAGTTTTATTGGGACTTTATTTTTTCTTCTGGTCAACTGGATTATACCACCAGGTGGAGCCAGCACAAAAACTGAAAACTAGCACAATAACTTAATCTCAATGCTGGTAGCAGTGAGTGAAGTCCCGTGAATTAAGGGAAGCAACCTGATCTTGACACAGACTTCTTGACTTCTGCATAACCCAGACAGAGCAAACAAAGTAGTTTTAATGAAGAATGTACGGTCTTTAGGGAGTGTCAGGAAAGCAGGATGAGAGCAGATTGTGATCTTTACAAAGATCAGCAGGGAAATATTTCTTGCAGTGCTATGCACAGAACTAAGTATCTGCAGAAGGGTGTGGAATGATCTTTCTGACCTAGAACTCTTTTCTGCATCTAGCATCTTACAAATTTAGGGTGCAGCGTTTGCTCCTGGAAGTCCTTCTGCCGCTTGCCAGCTGTTTTTCCAGGGTTGATGCTTTGTCTTGGTCATGCTGATATATCTTTTTTTCCCCCCTCCAGGTGATTGACATCTCAATGATCCTCGCAGAGGCCATCAGGAGGACTCATAATGGGGAATCTGTCTCCTACCTATTCAGCCATGTCCCTTTATAACAACAGATGCCAGCTGCTGCTTGTATGGCTTTTTTTTTAAAACCAAAAGTTGTTCAGCTTGTTATAAAGTTCAGTAGAAGACTCTGCTTGTTCCAGTGCAGTTCTCCACAGCTGCTCCTGCGTAAGTCAGGCTCACTGACTCCGATCCCAGCACGGGGAGGTTGGCGGGAGGCTCATCTCTGTAACACTCCAACCCCACCAGCAGCCCCGTGCCCAGGGGCTCGTCAGTAGCCTTGACTCAACCGTGCAGATCTGTGGAGAGCAGGACTGACCCATGGCCAATTGCCACGACTATTTTTGGAGGGGGGTAGAGGGAGGGAAGGGGTTTGTGGGCAGGGTTAGGTGACCTGGCATGTGCACCCCGAATTGCTTGGGAAGTAGAGCGCCCTAGGACACGCTGGTCTGGATCTACAGCAAGAGCCCGAGAGACTGCTGACTGTCTTACCACTGCAGGCCTGGCAGAAGCCCTCCGAGAGGGACGGGGAGCCCTGCACCTCGGCCAAGCTTAGCCCTAGGGGACCCCTCAGGATGGGAAGTGGCTCTGCTACAGCCTCTTCCCACGAAAGGAGGGCAGCGTAGCTCGCAAACTTGAGTTAATCTGATTCTTTGAAGAAGTGCTATGCCCTTCAACATGCTACACAGCAATATTAAGGTGAGAGCGTGTAGCATGTTCAGTACCGCTTTGCTGTGTGTCCTTAGTGATGAAAGGTGCATCCTGGACAAGCACTCTTCTTCCTGGCTTGTACATAGAGGCCTCTAGTTCCCAGCATAAGCTAAAACAAATGCCTCATCTTTGCAGTTAGTTAGCCTTGCTAGAGACTAGAGGTCTGCTGTCATGTACTGTAGCTGCACCTTGACTTGCTGTGCAAAAGTACCCTGATCCTTTTCTTTAACCAGTACATTAGTAAACGAAGCCTCTGGCCTTCAGTAGCACAGTTGTTGCATCTAGCAAGTGCCTGCTCACTAGGTTGATGTGGGGTGACCCAATGTGCAGCACCTCTGTCTGCTTCTGAAGGCTGTCTGCAATCCTGTTGTCCTGTAAGCTACAGACACAGCCTCATTGCTTGTCCTGCCCTGCCTTGAACGTGTTGCTCATTCCAATAACAACTTGAAAACTGCTGGAGGATGAGAGGCTGCAGGACTGCACAGCCTGAGGAAGCCTCTGCAGTGAATCTGGTGCAGCAAATAAGAGCTTGTGGCAATGGGTTGAGCAGGCTTGTGGCACATAGTACTGGGAAAGCGTAGATCTAACTCCAACCTGACAGGCAGCAAAGTGCCTGGAAGAGAAATACCAAAACTAGAGCTGGCTGAGGCTCCTGGATATGAAATAAATATCATCCAAAACTTGAACGCATGATACCTGTACCAGACAATCTTAAGGTAAACTGTTAAGTCTCTCATGAACTCTTACAGGGGTTATAGACCAAGCTGTTTTATGCAGTCTGGTTTTTATAAGCACTCCTCTTTGATTTGTTTTTGTTACAAGGGAATTTTTTTTGGTAGAGAAGGAACTCGAAACTGCTTGCGAGGGTAGTCAGCACAGCTTGGAGAAGCGTGGGGCTGCGGAGTAACTGGAACTGAAAAACCTCGGGTGAGAGCTAGGGAAGTGCTTCTTCAGTTGTGCCTTTCAATGGAGACTTCTCCCCTCTCCCTTCCTAAAACTCCTGTCCTGTGGCAACTTTAACACTTCTATTTTACAGTGTAGGGTTTTTTCTTTTGTATAAGACTCGGTGTTTGTCTGGAACGTGTGTGTGTGCGCGTGTGTCTGTGCTTCCTTGCTTCGCATCCTGCACTGAGCTCCCCTGAGAGTCCGATTCCTGCCTCCTCCGTGGGAGCCCCTGCTGCGCTGCCCATGCCCCGAGAGCCAGGACATCAGCAGCGCTGTGAGGATTTTCAGCAGCCTTTGTGTTAAACTTAAGACCTTGATGAAGGAATTAAACTTTTATTTAAAAACCACGGCCTCTGTTTATAAATACTTCCAAAACTCTACCAAGGCGATGGGCATCCTCTGAGCTGGGCCCCTTGTAAGGTAGGTCAGAGTGGTCTAGTTTGGAGGGAGCCTTGGGAGGGTCTAATCTTAAAGCAGTTGGTTTCACTTGGTGGTTTCACTTTGCTCTGCTCCCTTTGCATGGGAGAAAATGCTCAGGACCAAGCTCTTTTCCTAGGGGCTTTTGTCTCTATCTGATTTCCTGGACCTAATTCTGTTAGGGCTGGTAGTGCAAGTCTTCTTGTACTGTTCAGTTATGTGACTGAGCTGATCTATTCAAATAATGTCTGGGTAGAGGAAAACAGTAATAGTTTAGCAAATTTGAATGAAGTGCTGTCAAGAGTCTTGTACAAGACTAGTGATTGGAAGCAGCAGGTTCTAAGAAGTGCTTGTTTTAACTAAACCAGTGTCTTTTTGCACTGCTGGTGTTACTTTTTCATTGCAGTGAGATCTTTAGACCGCAAATATAAATGAGGCCAAGGGGATGAGGTGAACTCTTAGGTCTTTTGTCTTGCAGTTGATTCTGGCATAGTTCAGTCCTTGTTTTGGGAAAAGAGAGTCATGGGCTCAGTTGGGACCTCTTCTTGGGACCATGCAGTTTTCAGAACTGCACCATAAATGCCTGAATTGTGCATCTTTTCTCTCAAACAGCTGGAGGGGTAAGGAGAAGGGTTGATGTGGGTCTTGGCAGGGCTGTGGAGCAGTCTTGGTCAGTCAGTAGAGCAAAGGGGGAGCACTCGATGCCTGTATGGTAGCACCACGGCTGCTTTAGCAGTGGCTGATGCAGAGGGTGGGAGAGTGTTTCTAGGAGGTGAAGCTTCCATGCACCCCTGGCCCCATTCAAAGGGCTGCACTGTTGCTTTCTGCAGAAGTTCATTGGTTAAAGTCAAGTGTCTTTATTCTCCAATTACTGCTTAACCCCTTTGCAGGAAAATTGCAGCCAGCTGCCTACATGTGGCCAGTGTGCAGCTGAAGGGGGATGATTAATGCAGACAGGGAGTGTGCAGCACCAATGCTCTGCTTCTAGCTTCAGCAGCCCCTCTAGTGCTTGGCATCCCCACAGCAGGGGCTAGACCCCACCTCGCAAAGGGGCTTGGTGCCATCGCTGCCCTGGCCATGGTTCGGGCCTGCAGCTCAGCCCCTCTCCCGCCAGCTCCGGTGCCAGCCCGCGTGGGAACGCCGGGAGCCGCGGGGATGTTTGTGCTCCCGGCTGCCTCCGACCTTGCAGTTTGCAGGAGCTACCGCTGTGTTTGGCAGTGCCGGAGCAGATAGGGATCACGCTCACGCAGCCTGGCCTGTGAGTGTGCAAGGGGTGTGCAGGGAGCGGGTGTGCAAGGGGGCGTGGGTAGGAGAGGTGTGCAGGCTGGGGGTACCCTTGCGCAGGCTGGATATAGAGGCATGGGCTGTGCGTGTGCCTGTGTGCACAGGGGGTGTGCCGCTGTGTGTGTGTGTGCAGGCAGGCTGTGCGTG